AAGTAGTATTTTGATTTGAGTTATGAAAATTTCCATCTTTACAATGTCCCAATGTGTTTGTCAAGTTCCCTCTTCATTTAGTTTTACTACTCAAATTTGAGAGTTTGGTTGGTTAATTAATTTTTGAATTCCATCTCATTTTTTTCCAGATTTATTTTATTATTAAACTAACTTAAATTATTGGTGGCCAAACATTCGCCTTGCAGGAGCATCTAGAATCTAAAACTCTTTTTCCTTATTGTTACGAAAACAACCTTTGATATGACAATAGTTTAATTGGTCAATTTGGGGTCGGGTTCAATTCTGCATTTTTGGTAGCTCAAAAGGTATAGACTTACTATTTTTGGTCACCTATTGCGTAATGTTTCATTTGGCTCTGGTATGCAACTAACTGAGTTTGGTTTCTTTAAATCAGGTTGTTGCATCCACAGAAAGTCCAAGGTTTGATAAGCAATTTGTTTAAAAAGATGAGACTGACTGCAAGTCATATGTAATTAGGGAGGAAACTGATCCCCAAAAAACTCTTAACCAGGGAAACACAAAACACTATTTCTGAGGGTAACCAAATTCTTTCATTAGCTTGCTACTTTTTGCTAAAGTGTTGTCCATCTAGTTATCACCTTGCTCTCAAATTCCCTAAACAAAAATGTGGTAAACCTCAGAATAGTTTCATATTATTTTATCATCCCTTTAGGTGCATGGGCCAATCCTTTCACCATTCTAAGGCGAAGGTGATTTAGGATAGAGGGATAATGTCAAATTTAAAAATTGAAGTTCTTATAAGAATAGCGGGATAATAGGAACTTGATAAACTTGATTTCATTTTTTTTTTTTTTTGGCTCCTGAGGATGACAAGTACGAGTTTTCTGAGCCTGCAAGAATTCAGAATTTGGTGAAAAAATACTCCCAGAGTGTTTTATTCCCCATCTATGTATGGCTGGAAAAATAAAGGAATGTAGAGGTTTGCTTCTGCTCCTAATTTTCTTTCATCCTATAGGTTGTTTTTTTTTTTTTTGGTGTGGAGATAGTCAGTTTAGGCTGTAGTTTTGAGTACTTTTCCATTTTGTTTTATTGAATGTCATGGGATATAGTTCCTTCTGAGGATCTAGAATTGCTAGAGTTTGTCTCCATTTTATGTTCACAAAGATGCACAGTTTTTTCGCTTAAGGGCTCTTTTGTTTCCGAAGTCATGCTTCGTTATACATACAATTTCTTGATCGTTCAAGAAGACTTAATGGAGGATCTAATCATCCAACATTCTAGGGAACTAGCTGAAATAAACTTGGCTCAAGGATAATTATGTGCTGAAACTGAGGTAACAATCTCTTTTACTTAATGAAAGCAGTATTTTCATGTAACTATCCCTTGAACTTTCATATGGGTTTCAAAGTGATTCCTAAAAGTCCCTTTTCAACAAGTTTATGTACGTACTTGCTCAATTCAATGATTCGGAATATTGATGGTACTGTTCTCTTTTGTTTATTTATGGATTACTTAAGAAATTAGGAGCTTGGTGCAACAAATGGCTGCTTGATGACCTTTGAGAGATCATAGTGCTCAAATTTGCTAAATGGATAATATCAATTCTCTGTACCATTCTGTGTGTGATTAAGATCAGGATCCTAAAACGGGCTACTACAACCTTTTTATCGTTTTAACATTCCATCTGGTTATGTGTATAACTTTCCATCGTTTCGGCTGACTTCAGTGGAGGCGAAAAACCATCAGCAGCAGAGACGAACCAAAAGATCTAACGTCCTTTCAGGCAGTCTCTCTTTCATCTATAATTCTGTATATAAATCTTTTTGAGATCAAATTCTCCGCCCTGTTGAAATTATTGAGTTGGAGAAGAAAATTGCAAGATGGCATGTTTAATCAAGTGACGATCTACATCGATGGCCGATTCAAAATAGGGTGACAGGTAGCATCTAGGATGATTTTCAAGGTACTTCTTTTGTTGGGTTTGATTATTTGATTTTTTATAAAACAGAGAACGGGTTGATGAATGATGATGGATGGGTTTATGATTTTCGAAAGATGTGTGCCGTAATTTTTTTTATTTGTTTTTTTGTTGAAACAAAAAAAAATTTTGGTCGGATTTATGGTCATGTGTGAAATTTTTAAAGAGAATGTCTTTTTGGATTTCTGGTCAGTTGACTCATTATTGAGTTTAAGGTGTTGAATTGATGCCTCTGCTTGGCATTTCTGGTTGGGATTTCTTTGTTTGTTTTTTCCCTTTCTTATTAGTTGAACACAAAACGGAAGCAAAGGAAGGATGATGGTGGGTATATGATTTTGGGCTATGGAGGGCCTTCATCATCATCATAGTTATCTGCTTCACCCAATCTATCTCTCATATGCAGGGAAGTAAGACATCAATTTCGAATTATAGCTTGGATATAATAGCTTTGAAGCCCTAAAAGACGCGTTTGTTCGTTATAAGTCATTTTCGATATCGCTGACTTGGCAGTTGAGTTACTGATCAATGTACTAAGGAAAATTACTGCATCTAATTGCTTCGTGAAAAGTGGGATTTGGCCAGCTAAGTCAATTGAAGGTTATTATCCTCTTGCAACCACGATCTTTCCTTTTTCCCGTCTTGGGTTTCTTATCTTAATTTGCTCTTTTGTAGTATACTTCAGCATTCATTTCTCTGCTGAATTACTTCTTAAAAATGTAGTAGTCCTGGGTTTAGCTGCTATTAACTAGAAATGCTGTTTGAAATTCTGTAATCATTACAATCGGGAGGCCGCATGTTGTTTGAATTTTACTGAATCTCATATTGAAGAAGAACTAATGGTTACTCAAGCTCCTCCAGAATTTTTAGTCCTTTGCCATCTAACTCTGCTTTATTATGATTACTGTTTCGAATGCACAACCAAAATGTAGAGTCTTTTGGGATTTTTTTTTCTTATCTGCACAATCTAAACCTTTATGAATAAGTAGTAAACACTAATTTTTGCCCAAGTATATGATGGAAACATCGCGGTGATGCTTCCCTTTTCAAATCCTAAATTTGCTGTGAGATTCGGCCATGAAAAAAAGATTTGGTTGAATTGCTTAATTTGCCTCAGTCAACATTCTTAATAAGTCATTTTCATATATTAAAGGTTCCAGCGAATTTTACAACCTAAATTCATAGTGATAATGGACATCATATAAAATTAGATATTAACATGTTATGAAATTGAAAAAAAAAAACAAATAGATATTAACATGTTATGAAATTGAAAAAAAAAATACTCACACGAATTGCTCCCTAGAAATTATAAATAACGAAATTAGTAACAACTATAAAAAGAAAAAAAAATGAACAAGTATCATATGATTTAAAATAATGAAATTAATTAGTAAAAAATAAAATTGGAGACATCGCACGGTTCATTTTGTTCAATTTAATCGATTTAAAAACAGGCAGTCGCCCGGGCATTCACCAAGTATCGCCCGTGTTTGTACTTTTTTTTTATACCAAAGTAAATTAGATTTTATTATTATACTTATATTAGTGCATTTTATTATAATTGTAAATTCAAAGTGATCGTCTAGGGATCTGCCCAGACCAAGCATCTAGTTTTGATGATGCCAAAACACCACCGTAGATGGATAAAATGTAATTTTGAAAGCTTAAATATTGTTACCTCTAATTGCGAGAAAATATTCCGTACAGCTATTATACCAAGAAGGATTGCCCAGACACACACACAAAGTAAATTAAAATAGTAATTTTGGGGGAAGTAATAATTTCTACAGGAATTTTAACCAAAAAAAAAAAGATACTAATACTTGCAAGGATACAACACCTATATACAATAATTTTTCAAGCAACAATCATTTGATCATTTATAAAAATCAAAAGAGGATACAGATTCATGACCTGAGTTGAGCTATTGCAGCCGGTCTTAAATTTTTTATCATCTCAAAGTGTATCTTGCAATATCGTATTCATGAAGGGCTTTTATGAAAACGCATTGGACCGAGCCAAAGTAGCCAATATGTAGCAAAAAATTGTTCCGTTGCATCTTGTAATAAACAAGAATTCAATTCAAGATAGATTTTACGCAATAATTACAGAAGTTTTGGGGTCAAATAGAGTAGCAGACGGCTTCGGTATCTGAAAACTGGACCGGTAAGCAAATCATCCTCTCTACTGTTTCACCGATTCATTGGTTCGAACCAGTTCAACTGTTCTAAAAATTCGGATGATGTCATTATTATATAATAAATAAAATTAAATATGTTCATAATATAATATAAAAAATAGAAAGAATTTATGTTACAAAATAAATAGAATGTAAAATTTCCAAGTCTTTTCAGTACCAAGGTAAATTGTTGGGACCATTACATAATTATAGAAAGTATAAACCTTAATTAAAAAACCTAATAACCTACCTATATTTTTCCCCACAGCCGCCCCCACCCTCTTCTTTCTCTTATCTGCTCCAGTTCGAGCCACCCCTCCCCCCTTCTTCTTCTCTCCATTTTCATTCTTTTTCTCCCTCTTCTTCCTTTTTTTTTTTGTTTTCTTTGAGGGATTCTTCCTCTTTTCCCTTGTTTATCTGAATCCCCATCTCTCGATTCCCTTCAGCTTTGTTTTTTTTTTTCTTCTTCATTTTCTTCTTTCACAAAGTAAATAAGACATTATAGAGATGAGTGATAAATTTAATTATTAAGAGGTATCTCTTTGTTATGGGTGATAAAAAGTTAACATAATGGGAAAATATATGAATCTTAACACAAGTTTTCTAGGATTTGAGTGAAAAATTGGGAAGAAATGGAAGCACCAATGTGTTTTTTTGGAAAAAAATATAAACTCGCGGTCAGTCGGTTCTCTCCGGTTCCCCCGGTCCAACCGCGAGTTTGAATGGTTTTGACTGATTTTTTACTGGAGCGGCTTTATAATAAATTCGGACCAGTAGCATGTCCGATTCTCGGTCCGACCGGCCGATCAGCTCCGGTTTTATACTTACTTGGGTGACTCCAATCCACTGCCTATTGAAATAGTTGAAATAGGTGAAACATCTTACCACTAGTTTAGATTAAACAGCTGCTGCTGGAGCAAATTAATTTAGAAAATTCCATAAAAGTATGTACAATTGAGGTTACTTCAAAAGAGTGTCTCAAGCATGTACTCCACAAAAGAAATATGAACAAAGATGAAAGCAGCCAAAGAATTTGCACCAAAACCTAAAAGGGCCAAAGGGATCATCTTTTGCTTGCTTGGACTTACAGATGAGATGGATGTTACAATAAACAAGGAATTAACCCCCGAAAAAAGATAAAAAAAAATCAAGGTCTTGGCATCTCTTCAGAAAATCTTGGAAGTTGAACAAGAGAATTAACCCGCGTAACGCCTTCCAAACCTGACCAGTTAGTCTCCTCAGAGACCGTATTCTCTCCATTTGCATCTACGCCGACAGCTTGTATCCTTTTATAGGTTTCATTTTCTTCGGCCGATCTCACTGTACAGTTTCTCTGCAACGTAGGCTCCACGTTTTGGCCATCATCTGATTCGGCGACATTGCTGGAATGGTTGCTCTGTAGAGTTGCAGAAGAAAAACCCTGTTCTTCGTAGTCAGATTCTGAATCCATCTTCCCATCTAAAAATAAGCAAACCACTGCACAGTCATCCATCTTCGAGGTTGGATACTTGGACTTCCATTCCCGAGCTGCTGACTCAACCACGATCCGAGCAGCTGATGATCGGGTTGAAGCAGATGACACTATCTCAACCACTTCATCATTACTCAATACATCCCAAACCTGAAACCAGTACAATCATAGCAGCTGTTACTTTATGTTTTTTGGAGCCCAGTGAAGTTTCAACTCTTTAGTCCATACAAACTCTAATCACAAGTTACAGAAAGACTTTGAATCTTTGCACATGGTGGATTCCTTTTTCCTAAGTTTGGTCATTTACACAGACAATAATTGAGCAAATTATCTAGCAGCTTGATTAAAATAAGACATTAACAGAAATACTATTGTCTATTGTGCATGTTGTATCTCTTTCAATCAGAGCAACAACATGTGAATTAGTCTAGCACCATTATTTTACCATGCTTCATTTGAGATTAAAAACCATATAAAAAACCAGTCACATCCACAAAAGCAAAACCACTCACTGGCACCACAGATGCAAAAATTCTGTTGGGAGTTGACATAAGTTGTACTGATATTTATGTTCCATATGCTGAACTGAACAGCATTTTCTGAGGGATAAAGGACAAATCAATCTAGATCCATTTTTAAACAAATTCTGGTTTACAAGAAAGTTAAAAGAAAATTATTCGAAAAATCATTAAAGAAACATTATCTATCAATGCATCTACACTGTCGCATAATAGCGCAATAATTTCAGTTTGTCACAAAGGCAGAGAAAGAGGCAAACAATCTCCTTAAATACACTAATTGACCAATAACTGCCAAGGACCAACAATATATAACCAGCATCATTTGTTCTTTATTCTGGTCACGTAAACGTGTTTTAGATTTGGTACCAAACTTGCAAGTGTTAGCATTAACAACAATGCCTTTGTGGGTTTACCCTATAGAGAATTTGAGCTCTTTAGGCATGATTATTGAAATATACAACACAGATTATATTTGTGTCATCATTATTCTTTTGCTTTTGGGTACCATGTCATCATTGTTTTCAACAAAAGGGCAAGAGACAATACAGTTAAAACACAAGTATCTCCTAAAACTGGTAGACATCAAGAGTAATTTCAGAAGTTCATGTTTCACATTTCAGAATTAACAGGATGCTGGTTCAGTCCCATGAACCTCTTTTAGACCCATATACGATTACAATCAAGACTCCAAGAGTAATAATCACAATTTTAGAACTGGTGTCGAACAAATACTCAAGCCCAAGAAAAAAGAAAAAGAAAAGGTGAAGAAAACAAGAAAAAGATGATGAGCTAATAAAGTCAAGGGACCTCAAAGGCTAAGCATCAGATAAGCACAGATTATGTTTCATGGCCATCTAGCTATAAATCATTTAAGGGTCTGCAAAAATTTGTAACTTAGTAGCAATTGGAAAATGAAACAGAAGCACACATTACGTTACCCAAATATGTGAAAAGCACATGTTCATTTTGACAGCTTCTCAGATATTCCAGTTCCGACTATCCACAAACGGTAAAGCAAAAGATGTACCCATCAGCAGTTCAACCCAGAAGAGACAGAAAAATACCTGATGACACATTATTGCTACACTTTATAACCAGCCAAAGAAGGAATAACCTGGTCATTGCTACATCACTTTATACAAGTAGGCCAAAGAATTGTAGCTACTTTTTCCTTAGCATTAAGTGCAATGGTTCTAAATAGCCACGGTCGTATAAGTTTAGTCTTAATAAGGCAGTCTTTAATCAAACATTTCTAAAATCTTCAACCAATGAAAGGATGATCTAAGGTCAATTAAAGTACAACAAATGAATATCATACCCCATCAGAAGCCAGCACAATAAACTTATCCTTCTCTGTAAGAATCCGATGAGAAAACTCAGGAATAGAGATCACACCATACTCCTTCAAACAGAAATCCCCAAATGCTCGAGCCATTGCTAAGCCAGGGGCATCATCAAAAGGCAACCAAACTCGTTGCACTTCTGGCTCATCTTGTAAGGCAAAAACTCGGCCTTTACACCGTTTGATTCGTTCAGCTTCCCCTGTTATGTAAAATCTACCAGTTCATTAATACAAAATTCATTAAATATAAAATTCCTATAATAGGTTACCGTTATTAAAAAGATCATACTTGGAAGATCAGGCTTCAGATCAACAGTCAACTGGATGGCAACCATTTTATCACCGCCATCTTTTGATCCTAGAATTGCCCGAGAATCACCAATATTTCCAATGAAAAGGTTGGACCCCTGGGTTATGATTGAAAAACAAATTATACACAGAAGAATGGTTTAGTAGTAACACAAAGGACGAGAAAAACCATGATCCAAATCATACCTGCTTAACTATTGTAACAGCAGTGCTGCCACTGCAAAAACAATCCAAGTTCGGATGAGACCTTAACTCTTTGTCCATGGCCCTGTATGACTTAAGAAAGGATTCCCTCCACAAATGGTCAACTTCATTCTCAGTAGAACCATTCTTTTCAGGATCTACCACATCTAATTTTGGATCCCCTTTGCAGCAATTAGCACCAGACCCATTTTGCTTGGTATCAGATGATTTCATAGTTGACAAAATTTTTAATGGCAATGCATCTCTCACTTTGCGAGCAACCAAATGGCCATGTGGACCATGGCCATCAAAGACACCACAAAAGGTGACATCATCTGCCATGAAATCCTATATACAGGAGAAGTAACACTTGAAATTTCGAACAAAGTGAACAATGTTCACAACAAATTACAGATAGATGAAATTTACCTCCCAGACAATCATGGCATCCTGGTTAATGCCTTTGCGTCCTTGCTGTGTGAATATACAAGATGTCCGACTTCGCCCATTTGTGAAAATTCGATTAGGTATTGAGGCCAAATGTTGTAATTTAGCAATGTGGTCCGAAAATGTCCGTGTTCTCTTCCGACCAAATATACTCATCTCTAGGCATGTTTGAGAAAGTTTCTCTCCATTGCTCCCACTACTGCAAGTACTATGGCTACTTGTTGAGACACAACCCCCCATTTTCTTCAGAGACGGAAAGAGATCATTTGTTTCAGATGAAAAGGTAAAAAGAACAATGTTTTTATGCTTTCAGAAACCAGTCTCACAGGGAATAATGGGTGTTCTCTAGTCAACCAAACCAAAGAAAAGTGATAATCAAAAGACTCCCAACTGGCAGAGCACTTTGAAACTTCACTTGGTCAAACTTCAATGCACTGGGAGAGACATAACAGATAATAAGCACAGCAAAAAAGAAATCAAGGAGGGGGATTAATTAAAACCTTAGCCTATCCAACATCCAGTGGAAGAAGAAATGACTACATCAACATTAGCTTAATTTAAACATAAATAACTGTGAGCAAAGGATTCTGCATGTGAATGAGGACTATTTTAATAGGAGAAATAGGCCTCTAGATCATTTATCCTCGTAGGGAATCTCAATTAAATAATAGCACCTACCAGTTTCTAATATAAAATTCAAAGAGGTACAAGAAAGGAACAATGTAAGCTCAACAAAACAAGCTTAATTAGCACAGCCAAAGGAGTAGGGGAAATCAACAAATCGAAGTTCTAAACAAAGTTTCACACAAATCTAAGTAGAATAGACACTACCCTTTACATCGTGGCAAAGTGCATCAGATTGTCCACTAATAACCGCAGCCAAAAAAGGGCAAAACCACTAGAAGAAAGCAAACAACTTTGCTACTAGATTAGGAAAAAAAAAACAAGCCATCCTCCCTAATCTGAACATAAACCATCTTTTAAATAATCAATACAAAGCAAACAAGACAGACTTTTGAGTAAAAAAAATGTTTCAAGTTTTCATTTTGAAAGTTCTTTTTACCTCCCTGGCCAGTGAAATCTATGACATACAATGAATTGAGTAAACAAAAGCCCTGAAAGAAGTGAATGAGCCGAGATGGTGACAAATCAAAATAGCTTGAGGTAAACCCGTTGACTGAAAAAAAAAAAACATTCTGAAATGAACTTAGTTGAAGATGAAAAGCCAAAAAAAAAGATAAAGATGGCACGATAAAAGTTTGAATTTTGCCCACTTGAAAATGTGTGAGAGGATAATAAAGCGTAAAAAAGAAGTAGAAAAGGACGGAACAAATTGGTGGAATTGTCAACATAAAATCAAATACAGTGCCCAAAAAGAAAAAAGAAGAGGAGAATAAACAGTAGATCAACTAAGCCTCACTGCAGAAAACAGAATCTTGAACAAAAAGAAGCCAACCCTCTCTTTGCTTCTGCTATTTTTCTTTCAAAATCTAGTTCTGATCCAAATTAGATGACCGAAAGTAAACACTCCTTTTAGGCCGGATGAGAAAATGCATTACAACATTTCCTCCCTGGTGAGCTCTCTCAAAATCGTCCAATCACAAAGCAAATACTTTTCACATTCAAGAGACCAAAGTGATAAACAGATCCTCTTTTTTTGCAATTTGAAGGGTTTAAAAACTACAAGTGATCACATCAACTTTGCATTCAACAAAGGGCAGTTAAGAGAAAATGCAAAATCAAGGAAGAAAACCGAAACTATATTTATTAAATGAAAAACATCAAAACACTCAGAAACCAACCAACAATAGAAAGAAAAAAAAAGACCCCCTTCTTACAATAGAAATCGATTCTGCAGGCGGGATAGGAGAAAAAATGTAAAATTTATTGGAGAGTTGGAGCACCCAAATCATAAATTACCTTGTTCGGAGAAGAGGGATTTCAGTTCCTAACTTCAAACATGAAACAACCCATCAAAAGAAAGATCTTTTGCGTGGTTTTGAAGGGTGAATTGAGAATGGAAGGAAAAGTATACTTCTTTCACTCATGCCAAACTGTAGCCTGGCTGTTTTGCTGGAACAAAAGTTGAGTTGCATTAATTGCAAAAGCAAGAAAATGGATGGAAGGAGAGGAGGGTTGGGGAGTAAAAGGAGCAAAGGATAGTGGGGTAGACTGGTGGGGTGAAGAAGGGAATGGCTTGATTACTCATTTTGGGTTGTAGCAAAATGCAATGGCAAATTACTAATAGTACTAAAAAGTATATGAAACTGTAAAGGGGGGGGCATTTGGTGAAGTTGCAATTTAAATCAATCAAAATGGCCAAAATGATGATGATGATGATGATGATGAATGGAGATGACATAAATTCATGAATCTTTGAAAACTACTTTCTTTCTTTCTCCTTTTCCTTTACGCCAAGAAAAGCAAACCACGCTCTCCCTTAGCATGTGTTAACTACATACACTTTCATGGTAGCTGAGTGCCATAGTTCATAGTACTTTATAGCTAATGGCATATCCATTTTTTTTTTTCCACATTTGTATTTTCCTTTGGAAAGAAAGAATCCACCTAATAATGGCTGGAAAATAATTGGCATAGATGTTTTTGGAATTCAATGAATGAGAGGTGAGGGAAGAAAGTAATTTGGTGCAATATTTTACAAATGGATAATTGAAAATCATGTGTCATGTTGAAGGACACATGTTCTTTTGTTATATATTTTGCTTTGAGAGACATTAGAACTCAAAATATTGTCCACTGTTGCCTTTTCTCTACACAACTAGTAATATGTCTAACACACACTTTGAGATTGACTTGGTACGAATCCTCCAAAATAATCACGGTATTTGAATTTAAGACCTCTAGATTCTTGGTAAAAGATGTGACACTATTACATTCCAAACAAAAATACAAAATACCAAACTGCTCAAAGCCATGGCAAAAATAGGATTGATATAAACAAAAATCATATATCTACTTTTAATGCGGCAATGATAATAGAGTCAATACAATCATGATTTCTTTCGTGTCACAATAAATGTCGATCCAAAACTCAATTTTTGAGACGGTATCTATCTTATAATACTACATTTGCACCATCCAGACCTCACACATCACACTACAATAACCAAAACTAACAAAATGTTTAATTAGAAAGAATTTCTACTCGTTCGCACCTGAAAAAGAACAAACTGACTTGAAAAGTGAAAACTACAGCAGAACAGAATTAGCTAAGTAGTAAAAGAATCATAAAACTGACAAAAAATCTTCAGCAGTCAATTCTGGCATCATCATATAGTCAAATCTTCCCGCCACTCGCTGCTCAGTCTTCACTTCCAGTAGAATGGTGGAGAAAACATAGCAAGTTCCTGTATATCCTTCCGGCCATTGAAGCCCAATTCAACAGTGCTTGCCTGCCTGTGCGACCAATCTGGATCAAAGTTTTGGATGCACAAACAAGCATCATTCATACCCACCAGTATGGTCTCATCAGGATTCGGCGATCCTTTTTCCCAAGCAGCTGTCTCCTCTGCTTCCCCTGCTCCTCCTTCCCCTGTTCTCTTGTGTTTAACCAATCTGTAAGTGTCATATTCACCAAACACATAAGGTGCTGGCACCATGAGGAGAAGGATTCCAGTTGATGACGCCGCCAAAACATTCCTGTCCGGCTGCGACCTCTTGATGGGTCTTCGCTGAAGCACAACGCCAACCGCCGGAACACCGCCATCGGAACTTCCGGTTTCCCCGCCACCACTGCAGTCAACGGCGATAAGACAGCCGTACGGGTCAACTGCGTACAGAAATCCCTGGTGAAACAATATGTCCGCAACATAAGAAGGATAAACCCCAAATGCTTCCTCTCCCATCATAACTGTATCCACTGAAACCCAAGGTTCTTGGCCGGATTTGATCATTACACGTTCCGGGCCGCCGATGGGTCCACCTTCCCGGCCGGATAAGAGTGCGGCGACGACAAGATTGTCCGGATTCAGAGAAGGGTCACAGGACAAGACAATCTTGTGAACTTTACCCAATCCCTTTGGGGTGCCCTGAATTTCTAGCCTCTTCCGATTGAATGGGTTGCAGAGTATGAACGATTCTTGATCATCCCTTTTCTGGACAGCCAACCATCCGTGAGATGAACCCAGAATTCTGACCTCCACGGTGGCCTCAGCGACAGCTTCTTCACCAAGAATGAGCCTTTCAAGATTGACTTTGTAGAGCCTGTCTTCGCCGACGTTGTACAGTTTGGATTCGACGCCGTTGAGTTTGAAGAAGCCGGTGCTGGCGTAGGCATAGTAGTCGTCGGGATGAGGGATTAACAGGGACATTGGCGGCTGTTTATCAAGATTCTGAATGCGCTTCTGTTTGTGATTGGCAGTAGCTTTGCGCCATGATTCGCAGACGGTACCGAATCGTATGCAATCAGAAACATGGAACAACTTGTCCAGAACCTCGCTCAAAGCCTCCGGCAGAGCATTACCCCAACCTGAAGAACCCGACGACGACGAAGAAGAAGAAGATTGCTGTTGATGTTGCTCAGCCATTCTTCAATCTCAAATACAGAAAAAGGAAACAGAAATCGGCAGAAGAAAGGAGGAATGTGGGAGTTGTAAAGGGCAAGAACAAGAATCCAAGATGCTAAACTAAAATCAGGAATTGATTAGAACGGCAGTGTGAAGATGTGATGATGGATTAATGAAGCGAAATATTATGAGAAGAAGAAATTGGAGATTGATACACTGCCATATTTATAAGTGTGATCTTCCTGATTGATACATTTCTATGTTTATATATAGATACTCGGAAATTGGAATCATCTAGTCATCCTTCCATAATTCTTGGATTTCTTGACTTGAAATTAACCTTCTTATTATATGTGTTGCCCTTTTTCTTAACCACGCAATCTTTAAATTTACCTCTTTATTACAGTAATTAACTTTCGGAGACTAAATTTTATGGACTCAGCAAATCCATCACCGACTCAGACTATCGAAAGATTATGCCGAAAAAAAACTGTCTTTTTTTCTGCGTTTAGCTTGTGCAAATTAGCAGCACTGTAAAGAACAAAGCAAACAACTATCTGTGTCCCTAACAAAATACCACCAACATTGATTCCAATGGCTATAGATGAAGAAGCAGATCCAAGGCCTCAGACATGAAAATTCGCCCCGGCACAACTCTGTTATCGGACCAATGCGCCTTGGATAGATCAGCAGGGAATGCTGGTCCAAGAGTATCCGATATCTTGACTAACAAAAAGATGTCAGGCTTTTAAGCACTTACAGCAAAATCTCTCCTTTCTTCACAACTCCAAGTCGAAGAACAGAAGTTAGGTTCGCGTCCAGAACAGAAAATTCCAAGTTTCCAACCACTTGAAATAAAGCAGCCATCCTTGATCTGGTTTAACCACCATGGTGGTGCCATTGTTGTGTATGTGGACAACTCTATCCTTTTTTTCGACAAGTATACGAGCAAATGCGATTCTGCAACTTGCTGAAACTGGAATGCTGTGTCATATATCCAAGAATGGTAAGGTTCTAAACTGGAAACAAATAACTACATTCAGTCTGATGCTCAGCATAATAGAGAAACAAACAAATCATTTTCAATTACAGCGGCTTTCTTTCATTCAATCGGCTCAACATGATCCTGCGAGCACCTGAGAGAGCCGCTTTACTTGTTCGTCAGGCGACTCACAGAGAGTGCATGGCGCATGGTTATCTTTATGACGATAATGTACGTACATTGAGTTAACAGGGTTATCTTTGATCCTGGAATTTCTCTGCAGCTTTTACAGTTGAGTTTTTCTCCTAGGTCTTTTTCCTGTGCTAAGTCAGTATCACTACCTTAAAAAAATTGGCCTTTGTACTCATGGATTTATTTCATGTTTAAAGTTGCAAAGACCTGATCCAATTATGTGTTTTTGGTCGAGTTTTTTAGCACATTTGTGGCCCTTTTTTCTTACAGTGAAGTGGACAGCGGTTTTAATTTAACGTGCCACAAGATCACATATGATGGACAAATAAGAAAGATCTAATTTCTTTGCTCATAAAGAAACAAGGCCTCAACCAATTCCCATACCTGAGAAACTTCATAACTTTTTTTCAACCAATTCCCTCAGCATCCACTATGTAGTTCATGATTTATTGCCAGTCAGTGTTCCTCATCACGCGCCGGACAAGTATGCCATGATGACAAGATTATCTGACCAAACCTCGGGGGGCAAAAGACACCGTCGATCTTTATCATTTCAGTATAGTCGTAGGGCATAGCAATAGGATAGCTATTCGCCATATATTTCATCTTCTATGGCAGAACCATTTAAAACCAAATTCACCAAAGATTTTGCCTGTGTTCCTAAGCAATCAATTTGGATTAATATGTTGGATGCATAAATAAGTATAAGAACCCATCAATATGGTATCAAGAGATTCCGACTTTGACACTTGAACTCAGTCTCCTCTGTTTCCTCTGCTTTTTCTGTTTTTTCATTTTTTTTTTTTTACCAGCTTGTAAGCCTCATTTTCAGACGATTCAGAATCTTCTTTTGGCTTCACAAGGAGAATTTTACGTTCCATGGTAACAGAATCCCGCAAAAATCCAAAACTTATTTCCAGATTTGATCAGTGGACGGTGTCGGCCTGACAAGAGTGCGGCAATGACAAAAACTGTCTGGATACATAAAAGGATCACAAGACAGAGCAATCTTATAAACGGTACTCGGATTTACCTGAAACGCCAGTCGCCGGGGATTCTTAATCTCTTTTGAGTATATGGGTTGCAGAGGATTTTGAACCACCTTCTTCTGCATAACCAGCCATCATCCGTACGAAGAACCCAAAACTTTTGAACTCAGCATTGACCCCCTCTTCATCATCAATACCAAGAACAATTTTTGTGAAGTTGTCTTTCCGGGACGCTGTATAATTTGGATTGAAGACCTTTAAGTTTGAAGAATCCACTTATTATTCATCGTGGTCGGATTCAATGGAGTGACGGATAAACAAATTGGAGGCTATTTACCGAGATTATTAACTCGTTTCTGCTCTTGATGGGTAGACATTGAATGCCATGATCTGCTCTTGTTTGTAGTCAGAAACATGGAACAATTCGTCTACATTCACCTCCAATATCTATGGAAGAATATTAGTCCAATCTACTATCAAGGAGAGAGCAGATCAAGGAAAATGATTGAGGAAGATGAACGTTAGTCAAAGGTCAACAGAGTGATTGAAGGAGCATTAAATTATAATTATTGATAGGAGAAAATCCTCCTTAAGTTCAGCATTCATGATTGTACATAGTTGGCTTTCCTTGTAAGCACATTGTGATATACAGATTATTTGTATATAAAGATACATGTACCATGTAAATTATCTACAAAGTCCGAGCCTCCGATGTGATAGACTTCAGCGGTTAAAATGCGTTAGAAAAGAATTGAATTGTTTGATCGATCATCATTGTCGATTGTATTTATTTATGTAAATGGGACCATGCCTCTTTTTATTGTACCAAAAGAAGAAAAAGAAGTGAATTGTTGGATCTTGGATTAAAATGCGGAACTCTAATTGCAGAACATCGTTGTTAGAATTTACAATTGGCTGAAAGAATGAATGAATCCAAAGAGCCGACGTATGGAAATGAAGATGGACCTCCAAAAGTATATTACGGAAAGAAATAAGATTAGAGAAAGAAATAAGATTTTGGTCCATGAAGCCCCATCTTACAATCAAAACCAAGGCCTATTACAGAAAGCAATAAGATTTTGGTCCCGGGTTAATAGTGTTGATAGTATTTCCTTCCTCTCGAAATAATTGTTCGGTTTCAATTTTTTACTTTTAATATAATTATTATTTTTTCTACAAATAATTAAAACTATAAAATCAAATCAGACAATCATTTTAATACTGATGGAATAATTCTTTTGGAAACTTTTTGGTTGGAAGGGATCAAGAAGAAAAGGAACGCTTCGTATTTCTAGTCGTTCGGGTATGGAAATAAATGGCGAATATGATCCAAGTAATAAATGATTTGATTTCCTAGGTTTCTAAGTGAAGATGCAATTTGTGTGTTGAAATTGATGATTGGGAAATAAGCGTGATACACACCAACTTAGAATTATAAATTTTTCGATATAAAAAGTTCGCGTTTTAAAACTTTTCTTTTGTATTTGCACATTTTGTCAAGGGGAACACATTTTATCCATCGCAGTCTTTTTACTTTTAGGGCTCAGATATAGGGCCAGCTGAAACAAACACATTGAAAGAGGTTGGATCGTTAGTTGTTGCACGAACACTTCCCCAACGAGGCCTCCGACGCGAAAATGCACCAGCGCAACTCGTTCATCGGACCAATGCATTGGATAGATCAACAGGCAATGCTGTCCGGGTGTATACGATTTATCTTGACTAACAAAGAGATGTTAGGAGTTGAGACTCATCTTCGCAGAGGCTTTGAAAGTAGTTATAGCAATGTTTCAAGTATCATTCAGATATTCTTTTTCAACACCAGCAGGAGTTTTGGACGGAAAGTTATGAGCAAGGGAAGCAAACGGAAAAAGCATTTGAGTCTGCTTCCAGAACAGGCAATTCCAAGTTTCCAACCACTTTGATCAAAGCTTCCATTCTTGATCTGGCCAGTAATTATGACTAAACTACAGTAATCTTCAAATTTTCTCTGGACTCAACAAATCACCTACTAAAAGTATCGAAATATTCTGCAGGAACTAACTCCTTCTCTGTTTTTCAGCTTTTGCAATTCTAATAATGGTGTGCTCCTGGTGTACCAGAATATATTTGAGCAGGCTCAACAATTGCATGAGCAAATTCGATTTTGCAACTAGCTGAAACTGAAATGCTGTGCCACTTCGTACACGTATCCAAGAATTACAGTGTATAATTTATAATAATTGGGAGGACGCAATAAATTTGAAATACATTTTTAAAGTTTTATTTTCAATTGGAAGAACACACTAAATTACATTTACGACAAATCAAAATGCGTTATAATAAGGACCGGAGCGAGTATATCCAATTGGCGAGTTATTCTATTGCCATGGTTTTAGAATAGACCTCCATCGGCTTATACATTAGGCTCGAAGAAGTGTGGACGACCTAAATAATTAGTATCATAAGCTCATGGTTCGGATGACTGTGCAGATTGTTGAGGTTGGGAACTGAGGCCACTGAATGAATTTATTTAATTATATTTGATAGTTTATTTTCAAGAGCTACACTTCACTGCGGGAAATTCATGAAAGTCAACAAGCTCCTTTAATTAATTTCTCAACACTTGATAGCATAAAATCCTACCCGGCGAATGAAAGAGGTTCATCAAGATTTGGTATTATCACAGAGATTTGCGCTGCAAAAAAGCCAAGCTTAAATTAGTAGGGGATCCTTTTTGATCATCCATCCATCACTTGGTCAATTTTCTAAGTGGCGAAAAGATCAGTTGGGCACCATACTGAGGCTGCAGTTGAAGAGATTGAATGGGAGCATGAACATAAGATGGCGAAATCACGAAGGAGTATTGCCTGATGATAACTGCCAAGGCAACTTTAGTCTCAACCAATGCCATATTTTGAGCCACACAGATTTTTGGCCCGATGCCAAAAGGGAAGAATGAACCCATATGCTTCCCACCAGCAGCTGCAAATCTAGAAGGGGCGAATTCATCGGCGTCGTCCCCCCAAATCTCAGGGTCATGGTGCAGGGCCGCCTTGGCGACATAGAACTGAGTGTTGGCCGGAATCTCAAGGCTCCCAAGCTTCATCTTCTTGGATGTCTCTCTCGTCAGCATCGATGCTGGCGGGTAAAGTCGCATAGCTTCATTTATTATCATGTTCAACTGCCAAAAATAATTGAAACGTCGTAAGTAAATTATCACCATGATGAAGAAGTTGCAAAATATAGAGTCGCATAGCTTCATTTTTTAATTATGATTGATGATGCTTTTAGTACTAGTTAGTATTTTTACATTACAATTTTGAGGTCGGGTAATTTATCCGCAGAAGGAAGCTCATTGTCTCCTCCACAGGTGCGCAACACTTCTTCCCTGACTTTAGTTTGCCAGTCTTGATGAAAAGCTAAAAGGATAAATATCCAGGTCAAGAGAGCAGCAGTTGTTCCCTTTCCAGCAAAATAGAGTCCTCTGCATTCGTCAACGATTTCATCTGGGCTCAACCTTTCCAGTTCATTCTTCTGATTTCTGTAGGGAGACAATAATAAAGGAAGTAGGGCTTTTGGATTGTCCTGGATATATTTCTTGTTCTCAATTAATTTCCTCATGGATTCTCGGGTTTCCTTGTCTAATCTCCATATCATTCTGTTCTTCGTCGGCAGAAACCTACATATATATAACCATTAAAAAAAAAAAAAAAAGTTTCTTTTGTGATGAATTCAAGACCGAAGACCCTCCCGAATCAAACACATAAGCACACGCAAGCATTACAAAATTGATTATTAGTCAAAACTCAAAAAGTACCTGAATCCAGGAACATTGTAAACACTTCTTCTGGTTTGCAAAAACAGGATGCTTTGCTGTTCTTGAAGCTCGAAGATTCGTTTTCCTTCCTCAAAACTACTGCCGAAAAGGGTCCTGGACAGGATATCTGCTGTTAACATGTGAAATTCCTTGAACACGTCCAATTGAAATTCATCTCTATCTCCCCTGTCTTTTTCCCAATCATCCAGCATCTTTCTTGCACCTTCCACCATTTCTGGAACCAAACCCTGCGCCGCCCTCAATCAAACAGGTTGCAAATCGAGTTTAATTATTAACTTGGTGAAAAGGAAACAGAAAGACAGAGCATTAATAGTAATAGATATATAATAATTAACCTTGATCCTCTCCATATTGAAGGCCTGACTTACAATCCTTCGATGCAGGACCCACTTTTCACCACTCAGACCCCCAAGGCTCTGCCCCAATAAAACCTTAATCAATGAGTTCCGGAGCTCAACTATGCCATAGCAACCACTCGTATTCAGCGAAATCTCCTTAATCATATCTGGGTCCCCAATAGCCAACCTGGGTTTGCCCCCAAACCAATACAAGGAATTCTTGCCGTACCTCGTTGACCCGTTACTGTAATGCGGCGCCACCCTGTGAACTATGTCGTGGGTGATAAAAGGCAAAGATTCAGCTTCTGCAACCTTCCGCATCCTCAACTGAACCTTGTTCCCTGAAAATGGACGGTAATCTGGGCCCCTGATTCCTTGCTTCCTGAAGTGTGCTTGGATTTTCAGAGGGACCCAGATGACGGAGTACATGAATCCCAAGATGAAGATGATCAATAATTCTAAGAGCATCGCGGCAAGGAGATGCATATCGGCCGATGAACAAAATATCTGTGCTTTTAGTATTTGAAGTCACTTTGTGTTTTAATTTTAGTGTTGTTTCTATAAATGGAGGCTTCATTTGCTTTGAGGCTTCATCACTTTCATTTCATGTAGTATTATAGTATATGGGATGAGGAGGATGAAAATTTAGGAGGTGTTTGTTAGTGGTTGACAGGGAATCTCCGGTCCAAAAGTTTAAAATCATGGTTCTACCGTGACGCGAGCTGAATCATATGGACGTCGTGTGATTGATTTGTTATACCAACCTTGATGAACGTTAGAACAAAAGATTCAGCTCTTACTTATTATTAACATACTATCAGAGAACTAATCATAGGACGAGGTGAAATTAATTTAATACTTTTACCAGTCCTCTACTGCCTCTCAGTCACTACTTTGTGCTTTGGCATTTGACTCTCTGTAGCATTAAACACAAAAAGTGGTGAAAAGAAAATGCAGAAGGGTGTTTCTACCTGAGTGATACCAGCAGGACAAAGGGAAGAACAAAATTATATTTAGGCACAATGAGAAGGACGAAGGGATCATTGGCCTCAATTTTCCGGGAAGCTGATTATATTGATAAATTGTTGATGTTCATCGGCTTCTTAGGAGCTGTTGGCGATGGGATTTCATTACCTTCCATTATCCTCTTCTCCAGCAAAATTTTAAATGATTTCGGCAGAGCCACTGCTGGAAGTCAGAACTCATTTCCAACATTAACAAGGTTAATTTCACTCTCTCCTTTTCTGACAAGCACTCTCAAGCTCTGTATTTTTACACTGCCTCCTCCTGTCCCAAAACGGTTATCCCGTTTGAATTTTGACTTCTTAGTACAATTATGTACTATAAAATGGAAATACAAACTAGGCAATCATTTCAGGACCAAGGGAATTAACATATATTGTTGTCTTTGCCAAGCAAGCTAATATTTGTTTGGATTTGATCCAGAGCACTTTGCTTCTCTGCTATGTAGCATTCGCACAGTGGATTGCTTGCTTTTGTGCTGATGTTTTCTTCAGTTCTTACTTGTGTTATGTTATAATTGCAATAATAATTTATTCTAGTTACTCAACTTAATGGATATCTCTTCTTCCTTTTCTTATTCTTTTTTTTTTTATGTAAAAAAAAGAGGGCTACTGTTGGACAAGAACAGCAGAGAGGCAAGCGTCCAGATTGAGAGTAAGATATTTGAAGGCGGTTCTTAGGCAAGAAGTGGGCTACTTCGATATACATGTTAAAAGCACAGCTGATATCATCGAAAGCGTTTCGAAAGATTGTCTTGTAATTCAGGAAGTTATCAGTGAAAAGGTACCGTCTGTTTGTTTGTTGTTTAGTTTAATCCTAAGAATCAAACAAATGCGATGATATTGCGGAAAGGCTAAATGTACGCACGCTGTCTCGAAATTTCAGGTACCAGTTTTCTTGATGCACCTGTCAACTTTTGTTGGTGGCTATGCTGCAGCATTCATAATGTCATGGAGGTTAGCGATAGTAGGATTCCCGTTGGTAGTACTTCTGGTTGTACCCGGAATGGTGTACGGTAGAGTTCTGATGGGTATCGCCAGAAACATGAGGGAAGACTACAGTAAAGCTGGTGTAATCGTGGAGCAAGCAATTTCTTCGGTCCGGACAGTTTATTCCTTTGTCGGGGAGACCAAAACTGTGGCAGAGTACTCTGCTGCTCTGGAGGGAACCTTTAAACTAGGACTGCGACAAGGTTTAGCAAAAGGTGTAGCCAATGGGTGTAATGGCATAGTTTTTGCAATTTGGTCTTTCATGTGTTATTATGGCAGCAGAATGGTTATGTACCACGGTGCTAAAGGAGGAACGGTATATTCAGTTGGTGGTGCCATGGCCATTGCTGGATTGTACGTTAGAATCAATCATTTCTTTCTTAGTATTCCCCCACCTGACTTTGTTCAAATTAGGAAAGTGAGACATTCCTTTTTTCTTTTTCAAACACTTATAACAGATCATTAGGTCAAGGTTTACCCAATGTTAGATACTTATCGGAAGCCAGTGCAGCTGTAGAGAGGATGATGGAAATCATAAAAGGAGTGCCAAAGATTGATATTGACAACATGGAAGGTGAGATCTTACCAAATGTTTCCGGCGGTGTTGAGCTGAAGGAGGTCAAATTCGCGTACCCATCCAGGCCTGAAAGCATAACATTGGAGGGTTTTAACCTTAACATCCCAGCAGGGAGGACAGTTGCTCTGGTGGGAAAAAGTGGATCTGGAAAATCAACGGTGATTGCCCTGTTGCAGAGGTTTTATGACCCAATTGGAGGGGAGATTTATCTGGACGAAGTGGCCATTAGCAAGCTGCAGCTCCGATGGTTAAGGTCCCAGATGGGATTAGTGAGTCAAGAGCCTTCACTTTTTGCAACAACAATTAAGGAAAACATACTTTTCGGCAAAGAGGATGCAACCATTGAAGAGATTGTTGAAGCTGCTAAAGCTTCTAATGCCCACAACTTCATCAATCAGTTGCCTCAGGGTTATGATACTCAGGTTTTATTAATTCTCTCATTTATTTAGTTCGACAACACTTTTTTTTTTTCGCCTCTTCTCTTAAACACAATCATAAGTAAAAAATGTTGAAACAGGTTGGGGAAAGGGGGATTCAGATATCCGGTGTACAAAAGCAGAGGATAGCCATAGCAAGAGCCATAATTAAATCACCAAAAATTCTACTCCTGGATGAGGCCACTAGTGCACTTGATATGGAATCGGAGAGACTTGTCCAAAAAGCTCTAGACAAGGCAGCTGTTGGGCGTTCCACAATCATGATAGGTCACCGGTTATCAACCATCCGAAACGCTGATCTCATCGCCGTGGTCCAAGATGGTCAAGTCATGGAAATCGGTTCTCATGACCAACTGATTGCTAGAGATGATGAAAAGAGTCTCTACACATCACTTATCCGCCATGCTGCATCTGATGGTGGTAATTCAGTATCCAATCTAGATGATAGCAAGCGCGACACGACGAGTAGGCGAAGCCGGCTGTCGGTTGATCCTGTAGGTGTAGGGGATTCAGCTGGTTCAAGCAGCAACAGAGGAGAGAAGAATGTGATAGTTTCAAGAGATGATCAAACTACACCAGCAGTACCAGCACCACCCTCATTTGGAAGGCTACTGTCGATGAATTCGCCCGAATGGAGGCAAGCACTCGCAGGTTGCCTAAGTGCTCTCCTTTTCGGCGCAATCCAACCGGCGTATGCATATGTGTTGGGGTCAATGATATGGGTGTTTTTCTTGCCGGATCATGAAGAAATGAAGAGAAAGATCGAGATATATGCCTTGTGTTTTTTGGGGTTCGCCGCATTGTCGCTTTTAATCAACATATGTCAACACTACAACTTTGCAGCCATGGGAGAGCACTTGACCAAGAGGATAAGAGAAAGAATGCTGTCAAAGATCCTCACTTTCGATCTGGGATGGTTTGATAAAGATGAAAATGCTACAGTTGCCATTTGTTCGAGACTAGCAAATGATGCCCATGTGGTAATATTAAAAGCCTTTTATTTTGATTCAGAATTCCAACAAAAAGTTTTAGTCCAACTAAATAACCTTTTTCTTTTCTCTCTTGTACACAGGTAAGATCGTTAGTTGGTGATCGAATGTCACTCCTGGTCCAAACTGTTTCAATGGTGACTATTTCTTTCGCAATGGGGATAGCTATTGCGTGGAGACTGGCATTGGTCATGATCACAGTTCAACCCTTGGTTATCATCTGCTACTACTGGAGGCGTGTTCTTTTCAAAACCATGTCCCGAAAATGTGCCCAAGCTCGAGAACAGAGCGGCAAGATTGCGGCAGAGGAGGTGTCTAACCTTCGCACCGTCGTCGCCTTCAATTCCCAATCCCGGATCCTCCACATGCTTGCAAAACAACAAGAATCCCCGCGGCGAGAAAGTATCCGGCAGTCGTGGTTTGCCGGAATTGGGCTCGGCACCTCCAACAGTCTCGTGACATTGAGTTGGAACTTTCATTATTGGTATGGTGGGAAGCTCATGGGAGATGGATTACTCAAAACAAAAGAATTTCTGGAAACCTTCATAATTTTGGTGAGCACCGAACGGGTGATCGCCAATGCAGGAGCAATGACAAATGATCTTGCCAAAGGATCCGACGCTGTAAGCTCCGTCTTCGCTATTCTAGACAAACACTCTGCAATTGAACCGCAAGACCCCAAGGGGGAACAAATCGATAAGATAACAGGCGGTATCGAGCTGCGTGACGTGGATTTCGCTTACCCTTCTAGGCCAGAGGTAATGATCTTTGAAAAATTTTGTCTCAGAATTGAGGCAGGAGAATCGACAGCATTGGTTGGGCAAAGTGGTTCCGGGAAATCAACTGTAATCAACTTGATCGAGAGGTTTTACGACCCACTCGCCGGAGCGGTGAACATCGACGGCCGGGATATAAAATCATACCATTTGAGATCCCTGAGGCAACACATTGCACTAGTAAGCCAAGAACCGGTATTATTTGCGGGTACCATACGACAAAATGTCGCATTTGGTGGATCTTCAGAGCACGTCGACGAATCGGAGATAATCGAGGCCTCTAAGATAGCTAATGCCCATGATTTCATTACCGGGTTGAAGGATGGATACAATACGTGGTGCGGGGATACGGGTGTGCAACTCTCTGGAGGTCCGCAATCGCTCGGGCATTGCTGAAAAACCCGACGGTTTTGTTGCTGGACGAAGCTACCAGTGCCCTGGATAGTCAATCAGAAAAGATTGTACAAGATGCACTTGAGCGAGTGATGATTGGAAGGACTAGTGTGGTTGTGGCTCATAGACTTAGTACAGTTCAAAGTTGCGACACGATTGCGGTTTTGGACAAAGGTCGAGTAGTTGAGAAAGGGACACATTTAGATTTATTGTCCAAAGGTCCTCAGGGAGCATACTTCTCTCTTGTTAGCCTCCAAAACTGAAGAAACAAACAACAGTACTGCTTTTTCTTGTATCACACAAAATAAATTACTCCCTCTGTCCTCTCAAAAATTGTTGTCTTAGTTTGGATTTTCATTTTTAGTTCAAATTATACTAAAAATAAAATAGTACAATTATTTTAGGACATGAGTATTTGCCATGTACTAGAATGCCATTCAGTCCAATCAAACAGTGCAACTTAATTGGCATCACTGTTTTTCATCATGACAGGTAAATTTTTATTTTTATTTTTTTGGTAAACATCATAACATGGCTCATAATTTCTCAAAATATACAGCTTAGTTTCTGGAATTACAGGTAACTTTTTAGTACTAGCACGACACAATTTTTTTTTTTTTCAGTTTTTTCAGTTTTTTGTTTGTTTTTGTTTTGACTTTAACGTAATACTTCCCTGCTCTTACTTAAAAATCAAAAAGAGAACGAAATATTGTAAGTTCTTAAAGGGAGTGGGAAAGTAAATGTTCAAATAGGAGATCAAAACTCAACACTTGAAGGCCAAATCCAATGCAAACTAGAGCAAAATTAAACCTTAACACATTGTCGACTAATTGAATATTCCTGAATATTCCATGTACACACACACACACACTCATGGAAACTAGTTAGATGCTTGGAAGTACTAACTATACATATCTTGAAGAAACCACATGCAATTTTGTTTTTATTTTTTTCCCCCTGCATAAAAGGCTACAGAAATTACATCGATCTTCCTTGCATAGCAACTACACATACTTCAGGATTGTCGTTTACTCATCTTCATCATCGGTGACGAATTTCCCTGTTCCTGGGTTTATAGCGGCTATAAAGAAAAATGCGACATTGAACAGAATTAGGGGTTCGATTTCGGTGATGGGAACGCCAGTCTCAATGTTGAGCTGTGCCAAAGCTCCTTTTCCAGTAATAATTTCACCAATGATGGAGAAAGCAATTCCCAATTGAGCTAATCTTCCAACAAAAAGCTCGTTGGCTTTGGTGAATCCGAATAGAGGACCTGCATTTTTTTTTCACAAATTAGAGTCAAATTATAACACGCGAAAAAAAGAACAAAAAAAATTGCTCCATCTGTCCCAAAATGAAATCATTACTTGTAATGCGACGAACAAAACTATTTATCAAGGATCAAATTACCTCCTTCACTAAGCCCTAAAGCGGCCCTGAATCCTTTGCCAGGAGGAACAACAGCTCCTTCGATTCCAGGGGTATCGTCGACAAAGCGACCTCTGTCACCCAAAGCTCCAATGGCTCCAAGCAGGTTAAAAAGGATGAAGAACAGAAGAAGAGGCTCTGCCTCGTAAATTGGAATACCGGTTTCCAAGTTCAACTGCGCCAAAATTCCCTTCCCTGTTATTGCTTCTCCCAAAATGGAAGCCTGCCGATCAAAACATTCAATCCAGTTAGAAATTCCAAAAAGATTGTAGAGATTGAATAGTATGTTCAACGATGATCAATACATATACAACATTTATTGTACGAGTACGAAAATTTATCAGTCCAGTCTATGAATTTAAGATACTACATTTTAATTGATAACTCACAATTGAGCACGTAAACAAATTTCGTATACATGAAAGTGCATTTCTGAAATTAATATTGAAAACGTGAAGTTCTTTTGTTTTTAACATAAAATGCATTTACTGAAAATTAATAATCAAAACGTGGAGGAAAAAAAAGAAGAAGAAGAAGAAGCAAACCGTCTACGTACGTATTCTTACAATGAAATAGTTGGAAAGAGTGTTGCAAAATCACAGATAAATAATAAGTAAAAAAAACTTCGAATTATTTTCTGGAAATCGTACAATTCATCATTTTATCTTTTGTACTCTATATCATTTTAGCATCGATCCACACTTTATATTAGGTCAATTCTTAGTAAACATGCGTGAATCTTTTTGGACAATATGTTAGAAAATCCCTTATGAATATGCATTTTAAAATTAGCCATAATTATGAGCATCTCCAAATTAAATCACTACCACAAGAAGTAGCCATTATACTTGTAGCTAAAGAAAAATAAAATAAATAAATAAGAATAAAATTATATTTATCGCTACACTTACAGCAAATCCAAGCATGGCAACACGACCCACAAACAGTTCATTTTGCTTGGTGAATCCAATGCCTCCTGATGTTCCGAAAATTCCATCCTCAACCTTTGGCTTTGGCTTTGGTACCGCCTGTCACAACCCACAAAAAAAAAAAAATGTTAAAATAGCAAATTTAAGCAACAAAACTAGAAAAAAAAAAATTAAAACTAAGATCAGAGCACATATGAAAAAGTAGATACCTTTTTGGCAGGAGGAGCTTTGGTCTTGGATTTGAAAAGGGCAACAATAGAGATCGAAGAAGATGAACTGGAACGAGAAGAGGGAAGAGGGGCAAAGAACAAATGAGAAATTGGCTGATGAGGCTTTAATCTCTGAAGCAATGGCGCTTCTTTGCTCAAACTTGTGACATGGTTTGAGGGAACAATGTTTGCAGTTAGCAACATTGTCTGAACCATGTGTGCTAGCTAGTTAGTTCCTCTCCTCAGGTTGTGATAATGTGGCTAATATTTTTGCTGGGCAAATTAACTGGTTTAAAATTGGAGGTAAGATCCCGAGTGACAAAACACTTGCCTTATGAGTGAATGGAAGGTGTGTACGTGTTTTTCCTTCATTCATGAAGTAAGATGTGGATAGAAAATGTTGGAGGTTTTTGGTGTTGCGTGAGGAAATAGCAATCTTGGTCTCCATTCTTTGGCCATTTAGTAATCTGGTCCTCGTCTTCCTAAAACTCCAATCTTATGTTGTCAATATGATACATTATGGATTCAATTGATAGAAAGTTGGACCCCATCAATGGTTTACAAGTACAACTTAGCAGTTAACTACGTGTTGTGGTTGTTTTTCCCTTGAATTTATTTCGTTTAATGGACTCATTATCTCTAAAAATTGTACGTAATTGTTAATTCTTTTCCCCATAACATGTTTTTGTAGCTTAAGTATAGTCATAAAGTGTAAATGATATGATTTGAGAGAATAAATAGTCGTTGCTCATATTTTTAAACTATTAGTTTTAGACTCATAATGGTAGGTGATATCAATGCACATCAATCATGACTAAACTATTACTTTGTTTGATTCACGATACAATGTTAAAGTTTTCGGAAAGTTAAGACCACAATTGATAGTTTGCCAAAGAACAGAGACCAAAAGTGCTATTTCATGGATCTTGTATCGTACATTTGGAATGTTAACGGAGAAATTTTTTTTTTTTTTTGTAGGGATACAAACCACAAGGGTAGAAATTGATATGTGATCACAAAATCTGATCGGACCTTCTCTCAGCCAGAAACTATATATCAAAGATAAGATGATAAGCTAACGTGGCAAAGAAAGAGCAAAAAAGAAAAATGAGAAATAAAAAAAAAAAACCAGAAAAAGAAAAGAAGGAAAAACCACATCGTTTCATTTTCCAAACGAAATTTTAGATGCTGTTCTTGAACCAAACTACTTAGCCAAAAACCTCCAAAAGTAACCGGAAAAAGAAATGGCTTCCCCAACTTTGATCACTCCCACAACTTCCACCCCGAAGCCCCTTTCACCAATTAAATCCAAACCCACCACCAATCCCGCCACCACATCCACCGCCGCCGCCTCCGCCGCATCCGCCACCGTGCCCCGCCGCAATTTCTTAAAATTGGCAGCCGCCGCAGCCGCGATAATCTCCCCTGCATTGCTCCTTCCGGTGACCCCTGCTGCATTGGCTGCGGAAGAGGCGGAGTACGTAAAAGAAACATCGGATGTAATCAATAAGGTGAGAAGCACAATCAATTTGGACAGAAATGACCCCAACGTCGCCACCGCGGTGGCGGAGCTGAGAGAAACGTCGAATTTCTGGGTGGCTAAGTACAGGAAAGAAAAATCCCTGCTGGGTAGGCCTTCGTTTCGTGATATGTACTCGGCCCTTAATGCGGTTTCCGGCCATTATATTAGTTTTGGCCCGACGGCACCGATTCCGGCAAAGAGGAAGCAGAGAATCTTGGAGGAAGTTGACACCGCCGAGAAGGCACTAGCCAGAGGAAGATAAAAAATTTCTGCAGATTAATTACCGTTGTTAGTAGGGGCGCGGTTTTTTTTTTTTTTATGCTTTTACCTTTTTGTATTGAGTTAATTAATTTCACATATATGTAATATGTAATTCTACAAGTTTAATTCGGATAATGGTAAAATACTGAATTTACAACGCACATTACATAATCCTTGTGACTTACTGGCACTCTTTGCGTTACATTGTTCGTTTCTTGTCTCGTTTTAATAGTTTAACTTGAAATTATCAATATAAATTCAACAATTGGTTTTTATTTTGTTTTTGCTATCAACATCATGATATGATTTTCTTAAAAGTTTGAAGATTGATTGATTGCTAGTTTTTCAGCAAACTATATACAGTACGTTAAAGATTGGAATGAACTCGGCCTGTTATCAAAGGAGTTAATCAAAGTGTAGTATTTCCTCCGCCCCACAAAAATAGTCCACATTGAGTCTTAAATTTTATACTGTTTTTTTAATACAAATTTAAAAACTCAATATGGACTATTTTTTTTTGGGGACGGAGGTAGTATTACTGATTCCTCAAGTCCAGAAATGCAACAGTATTACAATTTTTTTTTTTCTTTTGAGGGTTGAATTAGTGTCCCGATTAATACGATGCTATTCCATAAAAATTTAATACGTGTGCACTCACACTTACATAATCATTTGAATTCAATCATGATATTATTCAAATGTTAGCACTAGTTATTAAAAATTTGGCAAAATTAGTTAAACATAACTCAAGTGTAATATCAATTATGTCACAGAACATCTTATCCGTTTAATAATAATGCTAGAAGTAGCTGGAAATGGACTTGACATTTTTTTTAAGTGGTCTCTTCAAAGACTGTAAGTGTATACAAGTTATTAATATACTAAAATGTCTCATCTCTATGATTCTATTCTTATGATAATAAGTGTTGTATTCAGAACAAATGACTTCAATACGGGGTGCTACCCCCCAAAAAAAAAAAAAAAAAAAAGAAGCGTTAATTATTAGTTTGAGGTGGGCACTACTTTCTAACTTGGAACTTCACCAATTAATTAGTGTTAAGAAATCACTTTTTTTGGACTCTAATTATGGCGACGGATCAAGAAGTGAACCCATTTGTTTGGCGGCCCGGGTGCATTTACATAATATTGAGCTACTACTAATATCCAATTGTTTGGTTACTAAAAAGTTGGAAATTAAATAAAGGAACATGAGTAATCCTAACTGATGAAGAGTAATCTGCCTCAAAAGAATTCCAACTCCAATATGATTTGGAAATAACCAGCAGCCCCAGTCCTTTCTAGCCCATAATATACCCTTCCCATAGTTCTTGCGTCTCCTATGGAGCAAAAGCCTGCATTCGCTGAGAAACTTGAAAAATATCGACAAAACCATCTGTATTCAATTTAATCATGCCAGCCGCGGGTGTTATTGTATTCCTGACGTCTCAACGAAAGATTTTTTGTCTTTAAGATTATTTCTAGTTCTGATTTTTATTTTCAGTTCAATTTATTTTTACATTAAAAATTCAAACTGAATAATAATTTAGAGATAGAGAGAATAATTTATTTTACCGCATTATTTTACTTCGACAAAATAGTTTTTTTTTTCATGTGACGGGAGGAATATATATATATATATATATATATATATATATATATATACATTTTATGACAATGTGAACTACGTATTACGATATTACGCCTTCGTAATCAAATGTCATTGCAATTTCGAAAATTTCCATCTTCGTGAAAAAAAAAAAAAAAAACTCGTGTGACTTGTGAAGCGATTTGAAGAGAATAAAGATTTGTTACGGTTGTTCTAGAAGCCACAATGGTCCCAAGAATTTGATTTAAATCATTTAATCAGTAAGCTAGCGTCTCATGGTTTCATGGCCAAGGAATTGGGCCGCAAAAGTGGAGCATTTGTATGATTGTATCATGGGATGAATTTTATGTTAAGAGTTAGCCTTTTCCCCAGGCATGTTATTGAAAGCTTGATTGATCATCGTTGGGATAGAAATCGTGGTTAAAATGCAGTTCTTTTGGGAGTCTCCTATCTCGTCGACCCCACACATCAAATTTCAATGAAAGAAGTTCGACATTTTGATGCAACATCTGTTGAATTTTTCGTTAATAACCATACAAGTGTAAGATGATTTCATTAGAATGTGTACGATTAAATATCCACTTCACAATCCGAAATTATTGCTCCACCGGTGCGTAATATATCCAAACAAACAAACAAACAAAAAAAATTCCACTTCACAATCAGTGAAGAAGCATCACAAAGGAGTAATTCTACTAAAAAATAACTCTATTGTTGAACTTATATCACGACACAAATGTACCGAAACTTCTTTGATCCAAAACAAGCAAATCCTTTGAACTTCGTGACAAAATTGTTCATCAATAAACAAATTTATTGGGTACCTTCAATTTAATTTCCAAATACTCCCTTCAGTTCTTAATATACGGCATATTAATTTATTCTAAGATTTACATATTTCGCATTTTGAAAAAAAAAAAGCTTAAAAATATTTCATAACAAGAAAGAGAACGTAACGAATATGAAAAAAATATTTTTAAGATTTTTTTTTGTTAATTAAAAATGTGTACTAGGTGAAACTTAAAACAAATCAAAATGCCTTATATTAAGGACCAGAGAGAGCATTATTGAGTAATGCATTAATTAGCAATTTAGTTTTACTTTTCGGAACTTATGGACAAGTCGACGATTATTTGTAAAAATAACTCGACAGCTGGGTTTTATATCACCAATGTATTTAAAAATTTCAATCTAACAAATAGGACGATTATTGCATGAGTTGGGACTGAAAAGATCCAATTTATTCTCTTTTTATTTAAACCGATTTCTCAACATTAGTTATTTTACCCAATTCCACATTTAATTTCCTTTCTTGCTCTAGTCTTTTCTATGTCTACTACTACTACTACTGAATCCATTAGTGGAATGATTTTCTGGGTCTTAATTATTAGAGCAAATGCCACCTAATGAGTTTGGCTTGATGAAATGATTTATGAATATGCATGTGAATATGTCCATCCATCTGAATCATGAGTTGATAAGAATCATTTTAATCAATTAAAATTAAGGCGACGTCACGACTGTAGCGTGCAAATCTTCCCATTTTCGTTCGCATACTCGTGAAATCAACCGACTTCACTATTTGTGATAGCACTCGAGTTTGACATTTTAGCCATTGATTGAGGATTTAAGATATATACTTAGCGTAATGGACGATCGGAACAATTAAATTCATTGAGTAAAATAATTCAATGACTGACGACGAGAAATAACATATTGTATTCGGGATTAAGTTCATTGAATGTTTTTATTTCAGTATTTCTATCATTCTTTTTTTTGTTTTTTCCAGAGGGATGGAGGGAAAGGCAAATGGTTAACTTGCTAATGTAAATAAAATTTTACAATGGGAATTAATCAATTGAGAAAAGAAGAAAAAAATTGTAGTCTTGAACGCAGGAAATGAACCCGTGTACTCCATATCCCCCTTCCTCAACAACACATATAGCTTGTTGGGAACTTAAAAAAAGAAAAAATGATTTGTGCACGACTATAACCGATTGCACAGCAGCCCACCGTCACGTTTGAACAAGGTTTCAAACGGTAGACTTTTGTAATTTGATTCAATCGTATCTATTAGAAATTATTTTATTTATTATTTATTAGAAATGTTTTCATTTATTTATTGAGGAGAACATAGCTCAATAAAATTAATATCCTTCTAGATTTGTATTTTGGTCGTTAATGAGAAAAAACACATGAATACATTGATCATCTGTTTAATCAAAATGTATTTATAAGTATTCTTCAAAGTATATACGGATTTCCTTGCTTAAATTTTCTACAATTAACTACAGTTTGCTGTTTAATTGGATTTGGGTTCAGGCATAGAGGCAATAAGGTCAAAGACAGAAGACGTTTAAGGTTAAAAGTTTAAACTAACCATTTTTCATTCTAGTACTAATTAATAGTCAAAGAAATGAAACTTTATTCCATAGTCTCTAACGATGTGATTATGTGACCGATTCACCATGTTGGAGCAATCAGCGGATGTGAATTTGGTAGCACAAGGTATAATTCTTTGTTACTTCTGTGTTATTTTTGGTCTGATAGTATTAATTAAATTTGACTCATGTCTTTATCTTTAATGGTAAAAAATTTTAATCAAATGATAAGTTAATTCTAACAGAAAAGTGATTTAACAAATGTCACTTAGTTAATATTTTAATTTTTGCAAAGAAAATCTTTTGCCAAACATGTCATTTTTGCTTCTGAAGATGTGTATATTTTTTCCATTTCAAAAATAATAATAAATCTATTTTTAAGTAAAAAAAAAAAAAAAAAACGAATAGGACCGTATTTTTGTAACAAAGAGGTAAATCTTATTGAATGCGCATGATCTTTGTTTTGGAGGACTATAAACTTCATTCAACGTACTGAAACCATGAAGATTTTACTCACAATAATGGTTTTGTTTTTGGAAAATTTCCATATGTGCTTATGTTATTAATTGGTGATCCTTTTGACTTGTTCCTTTATTTTCTTTTTTTTTTTTCCCTTTTAATCCCAATTTTGACCTGTACCCATAGTTTTCAAAATCCTGATCCGGATCTTAAAATCTTACGATCCTGTGATTCAAAATTAAGAAATCGATCCTAGATCTTATGGAATCCTTCTTTGTAGTGGGATCTTATAGAATCCTTCAAAATCCCAATATAAATCATAGGATCCTACGATCCAGCGATCCTATTGATTTTATCGATACTTGTACAAATTGTTGATTTCGTATAAAAAAGAGGGAAAAATAATTAGAAAAGATATAAAACTTAAAATTTTGAGTTGATGATACTTATGCGGACACTAATCTAATTCTCCTCTATCTATATAACTTGATAAAAGAAAACTCAGAGAGAGAAAACTGGAATAGTTTTCCAATTGCCACGTAAGACTGGCAATTTTCTCTATTTTTTAATCTATTAAAAAAGATTCAAGAAAAATTTTATATATCTTATCCATAAATCATATAATAAAAGAGTTTTTTTAAAAGTCAATCGCATAAATATTAAAATAACTACATAAGTTAACCTTATCTTATCACCACCGACATTTTTTAACTCTGAACTAATTTACAAAAGTGATAAATATGAAATCTTTGTGCTTCTATTTCAATTAGATACCTAAAATATATTGATATGAGAAAATGAAAATCAAATATGACTTTTCAATAAAACAAATCTTTTCCTGCATAGAATATTTCAATTTTATTATCAAAATTAAATCCATATAATTTAGGGATTACATAACAATTTTTTATATATATTATCTCTCCACATTCACCGTTATTAATTATTTCGATTTTTGTTGTCATCACAATAATTTCCTTTGCTCTTCGCTGCCACAATCAATTCCCCCTCCCCCATGCGAAGATGAATCACTTAGTTAATAAGGTTGTTCATGATCTTGAAGAGCTTAGTCCCACTGCTATGGCTTTGATTGTTGGAAGCATGCGGCGTTCCTTCCTTCAGGCCCACAGGTGGCCGGAACGTATGTCTTCTCAGCTACAATCGAATGCAATCTTTGGCTGTCCAGCATCGAGGCCGCGAATCTGGTTTGATGGAGCCATCTCCCGCTTGTTTCGTTGTGCTGGTGTGGGAGTTTGGTATGAGGATGCTCAGGGCTCTTTTGTAGAAGGGTGGTCAAAGAAATTTCAGGGAATAACAGACTCTGAAGTTTCAGAAACGCTTGCATTAAGGGAAGCTCTCCTCCTTGCAGCAAAGTACAATCTAGCGAATTTCGCAGTTATGGGAGACGCCATCAATGTCATCTTAGCCGCACAAGAGGTAGTCGTAGCTCCGGAGAACTTTGATCCAGTCATGGAATATGTTTGTCAATTAATCAACACAACTCAACCTTTGGGTATTTTCTGGTCGCAAAGATGCAATAAGAGAATAGCACACAAACTTGCGGCTTTAGCAAAGAGTAGTGATTCTGATTGTATCATTTGGTCGCATGTCCCGACGACCATCGTCAATCGCAGTTGGACGATTTCCAACATCTATGAATGAAACCTTTTTCAAAAAAAATTAGTTTTCATATTGCAAATTTTTCTTCTTCTCATTTTTTTTTTAATTTTGAAATCTTAGTTAATTTTGAGGTGCGTGCAAGAAATGGTGAAAATTAATTTCGTATGTAATTGTCATTCATCAAGAAGAAATATAAAAGGAGTATGTGTGATAGATCCTCATTGCTGTATTTCATATTTCGTTGGGGTTCACCCAGAAGAATAATTGATCAATTGTAAAGAGCATTCGCGGTAGATCCACATTTATTGTATGGTTTCTTTTATATATTATCACTTTTCAGGTTTTATATAATCACTATTTGGAATTTTTTTTTTCTGATGATTTCTTTTATATATTATCACTTTCCAGGTTTTAATTTTCTTGCAGGTAGCCTTGGCTTTAGAATTTTAACAAGCGGAAGAGTCTTGAAAAAGAGAAGTCGTTTTTCCCCTTTTATTTGTAATATGAAGACAAAAATATTAAGCAAATATTTGGTCATTTTATATTTTATAGATGCAGGAACAAAAATGTAATTTTGTTTTTTGACTTTTCCCGTCCATAACAACACCGGATGGACCGTGTTTTTTTTTTTTGGGGTCAATATACATCTTTGAGCTTATTAATTGACTACAAAGTTACGGGTAGTCATGGAGTTGACCGTCCTTATGGGAAATATCAAGAGTAATTTGTTCTTTGGATATAACTTGAAATATTTTTTGTCCTTCTTCCTTTATTTAAAGCATGATTCACCTTTCAAAAAAAAAAAAGTATGATTCTTCTACCTCGTGCAACGCACGGGTAACATCTAATAAAATCAAACAAGAATTGAACTAACAAATTGAAACTCATAATTTCGGAATTATTATAAAAATTTAAAAGGTTTCAATCCCGTCGATCCAATCCCATCGATGTAGAGTCCGTTCTAATCCTAAGACGCCAAAATGGTCCTGTGTGAAATTCCGATTTTGAAAACATTGCCCGTACCTAAAGTATTACTCTTACCCAATTCCCCGTAACCATTTTGACCATTTCTTCTTTGCTTAATCCAAAGGGACACAGATTTTCATTTCAGCATTTTAGGTACAAGAAAATACCATCAAGAGACGGATTTGGTAGTAGTCAACTTAATGTCAAAATACCAGCTCAGATTTTGCAAATCGCAATTAATAATAAATATAAAAAAGGCTTTCAGTTTTGACCAAGAAAAAAAAAGGTTTTATTTCCGGGGATCTCCCCGATGTTTTGATGAAACTACATATCGTACCCAAGTACACCGAATAAATTGAAATAATTGGATTCGATCAATTTGCTTGGCTTAGTAGTTTAATTTATTGATTTTTTTTCCCATCCCAGTAGACCCCACTTAAACGTGGATAAAACTCCTCTCTTACAAATTCTTTGGTGAGAATCGAATCCTAATCTATTACCAAAAATTAAAAGTTTAATTTATTGATTTAATTAAAGAATTACCAGAAAACATTAGTTCTACGTACGAGAAACGTTGAGGTAATCCAAACAAGTGGATTCAGTTTCTTAGTTGCTCAATCACGCGGTTCACCTAAAGCAAATGACTTCCTCTTTTCATCATTTTTCTAGTGGCAGCAAACCCACGAAATATCTGAACAAAACCATGAAAATTACCCCCCCCCCCTCCCCCTTTCACATTTGTTGACCATTGGTACGGATAATTAACAACAATTTTATGTCACGCATAATTAACAACAATATAGAAACAAAAAATTAACAGTTTTACATGTGATGGTTTTGCTTTGTTGGAGTTACGCGCCTAATCATTTTCAATCACCAAAAGTTATTAAAAAGTTGAAGAAGTTGTAAAAAGTACGGATGCAGGTCTACTGAATTTGACAGTTTCAATACTCTACATGTGTCATATTGGTTTTTCTGTTTTCTGTTTTCTATTTTTTCTGCTCATCTACTTTCGTGCATTATAAAAAAATCCAGTCATTTTCGTAAGGTATCTACGTCCGTCTAATTATGAATGACGATCATTGAAATTGGACAAATTAGAAGAACCAATAACATTTGAATGTATGAAATTTTTGGCTTTGGTTTTTGGAGCAACATTTTTGTGAAAAATAACCTGAGAATAAATGGGGGAAACAAGGAACAAGAATATAAGATAGCAACTAGTTGTTGAAAGTTTTATTGTGTATTTCCAGTTGTAATAGTTTAGTGATTGTATTCTCCCGTCAGTTGTTATTGGACGGTTTGCATCAATCAGAACTGACTGATTTTTAAAAATGGTAATAAATTTTTTTTTCTTTCAAAAAAGAATATAAGATAGCAAATCTTAATTTACATGATAAGGACATTTAAGGTTTCGGAAAAAAAGGCCACCAGATTCACTTATCATCAGTTATAAAACTACTAATTAATCGTAAAAGAATTATGAACAAACATCTTATACCAATCTTTTTCAATTGTGTTAGAGTTTATGAAAACATTTTAATTTGATCAAATTTTACTCCGATGGATCATATTTATGTGACATTGGTCAGAAGACAAAATGAAGCGTGCTGCATGCTAGATGAAATATGAAATTTGGCTCCATCCATGTGTAGATCACATGGTACAGAGAATGATATTGTGGTCAGCTCCACACTTGATCATCATCATCATCTGTGCTTGTTCTGTTTGTAGCAGGATTTTGGTGTCCACAAACCAAAGTCCACAGTCCAGAAAACACTTGATACTGTTTGGAAACGGTCCATTTCTCCAATTACAAATAAGAAGTCCAAACTCATAATGTAACAAAATTAAATGCAAAGCTTTAAAAACCAATCAAATCTCGTCCTAAACCTTGGATTAAATACTACATACCCAAAACAAAATCCTCAATTTTGTATGTGCCATTGAAAATAATGCACAACTCAAGTAAAATAGAGAAATGTTCATATAGCTCAATAGCGGGGTACGATTAGTTAGGGCATTTCTTGTCAATCAGCCAATGAACGTCATCGATTCCATCTAAAAGGTGGAACATATAATCCTAATTATGAAGTCGACATGAAATAGTTGTGGCAAAAATGAAATTAAGTACACAATTACAAAAAAAAAAAAAAAACTAAAACTCGTACTAGCTTTTCCTTGAATTAAACTAACAATTAAGTTCAACAAAATTGAATTTTCGTGTTGAATGTAAATCAAAAGAAAAAAAAATAAAGAATTGAATTTCTTCGTAATGAATAGACTTTAAATGCTATACTATAATTCCACAGCCACAATATTCTTCTTCTTTTTTTATTTTTTTATTTTTTTCTTTTCTTTTCCTCTTTTTTTCTTTTTATTATGGGAGAAAAGTACAACTACAACATTTGGGAAAATGATTATAAATTTGGAGATTTTGTTACAAATTAGCAATAGTCAAGGATCCAATTGTAAAAAAAAAAAAAAAAAAAAGTCAAAGTTGTGAGGTGATAAGAATTTATCTTTGCTCATGACCCCCTCCACATATCTACACATTAATTGTTTAATTAATAATACCATCAAATTAGATTTTTGTCCTTTTTTTCCACTTCTTATTCAATCTTCACCGTCACACGCACATTACCTCAATGCATTACAAATGTTATATGACACCTCACCAATTTTTGGCTACAGAAAATGCTTAGATTTGTCACCGGTTTTTTTTCCTTACTTCCTCCTTGTTGAACATTTCTCTGTCAACACACACACACACACACACAGAGCGAGAAACACACCGAACGATTACGTTTCATCTCTGCTGTGATGACGTGACATGCAACAGTAGCTGTAGATAATCTGTTAGATTTTTGTTCTAATAAGCCACTTTCTTTTTTCTTCTTTTTCTTTGGGTTGAATTTCATGGGTTTCAGTTATGCATTTACATAAGCAACAAAGATTTTAGTAACATTTTCCATCTTTCATTAATAAAAAAGCAAGCATCATTCACTGAGAGAGAGACAGAGATAGAGAGAGAAACTTGGCCCCCCCTGGATTTCTGGGTTCTTTTTCTCGGTTTTTATTTCTTTTGGGGAAATTTTTCTGAACAAAGACGTCATCCTTTTTTGCCTGAAACATGAAAAAGGGCCAAAAGAATCGGTGTATGTGAAGATGGGAATTTAAAAAAGTTTTCTATTTTTGATCTCTGCTTAGGAGGATAATTAAGCAAAGTTTCTTTCTTTTTTGATGTGGGTCGCTTCTGTTATTCATTGAATTGGAAGACAAGTCTTTTGAATCGTGTGGGAGTTTTCTTGAAGGAAATTTAGTGGGAATTTGGCTTGGGGAGAAAACAACGCCGGAATTTCCTGTTTGCCGGTGGCCGGCTGAATTGATTGTGAGAACATAGAATAATAATCTCAATAAGGCAATTAAGGATAAAAAGGAAAAGAAAAGGAATAAGGAACTTATCTTTTTCTATTTTTCAAGGAAAAAAACAGGGGAAGGAAATACTGATTAAGACTTTTTCCTTTTATTTCCTTTTTCTTTGGTTCTCTTCTTTGTGTTTGTGTGTTTTATAAATTTCTTTTTCTCTTCCCTTCCATAAAAATGAGTTGTCCAAACGTCAAACAGTAGTAATCTTGTTTTCTTCTGTAGACCGGTTTGTATCCTCTTATAAGAGGCAAAAGAGAAGAAATTAGGAGAATCCCGTTAATTTCTCTCTTCCCTCGAGTCTCTCTCTCAATTCCTCTCTCTCCTCCTCCTCCTCCTCCTTTCTCTCTCTCTACATCCCTCTTTTTGCCTTCTCTGTTTTTGGTGTTCGGTTTCCTTTTTAGCCTTTCCGGGGCTCCTCTGTTTTCAGGGCCAAGGGAGAGGAATTTGTAAAGTCTCTCTCTCTCTCTCTTTCTTCCCGGCTGGCCTTCTAGACGTGTGGTTTTCTCCTTTATTTTGATTTTTTCTTTTCAAGAATCATGATTTTGGAAAAGGGTCCAATGCAATCAAACTTGGGATGCTTTTTGGATTGTATAACACCAGTGGTTCCATCCCAATTCTTGAGCAAGGTTGTTTGTTTTGTCCTTTGTTGTTTTTTTTTTATTGGGATTGTTGAATTCTGGGGGATCATGAGTATTCTTGTATGAATGTTTGATCTTTCTTTTTTGTTTGTTGTGTATGATTAATGTTATGTCGCTCCATTTTTGTTTTGTCTTGTCTTGTCCTGCTGCAGAGTGAGATGAGTAATCTGAATACGCTTTGGCATCCATGGGAAAGGGAGAAAGTTGAGTACTTCACATTGAGTGATCTTTGGAATTGTTATGATGAATGGAGTGCTTATGGTGCTGGTGTGCCTATTAGTCTAGATAATGGAGAAACATTAGTTCAGTATTATGTGCCTTACCTCTCTGCAATTCAGATTTTCACCAGCAATTCCTCTGCAAATTGCTTAAGGTATTGATTGGTTTTTCTTCGACTCATAGCATTTATCTTTAAGTTTATTAGTTGGAAACCATGCCGATCATCCTTCCTAGTTTTAATCAAGTTTACCTTTCTTTAAATGTAACTGCCCCTGTTTGGGGTGATTTCTTGAGGTTGGATTGTTTCGAGGGGTAAAAAGTGCTCATTTATTGGGATAAAGTTGTAGTTTACTATTATTATAATAGTTAGGCTTGCGTTTGAGTTGGTTAAAGCTGTCTCATTTAAGTGTCACTTTCATTTTTATAACTGACTTGCTCAAATGGCCGGTATTGATCTTTTTTATTTATATAGAAGTTTGATAATTCAGACTTGAAAATGTCTATCATTTGCTTCATTGATTCACTGGCCTTGGTACTAAGATTTCCTATAATGTGTACGAATAATGATTGTGAACTTGGTTGAATTGTGATCTTGCAGAGAGGAGACTGATTCTGTGTGTGAGACCAGGGATTCCTATAGTGATTCATTCAGTGATGAGAGCGAAAGTGAAAAGCTTTCGAGATGGGATGGATGTTCATCCGAAGAAGGACTCTCCGATCATGACAGTCTCTGGCATGTAAATGATAGATTGGGCTGCCTTTACTTCCAATATTTCGAGAAGTCTACACCTTATGGAAGGGTTCCTTTGATGGACAAGGTGTGGTTTCCCAGAAATCATATTTTTATCTTCATTGGGCAAAAGTTTACTTTCTTTTGTGATTGTTTTTTTCCCATTTGAACCGAGAATCATTAGGTTCTCCTGGCATTTGCAGGCAAGTTGCATTCTGGTGATTATAATGGATATGTTGGAATCCCAACTTAACGTTTTTGCTAAGAATCTTGAAAAAATTTTGTTGAGCTTTTGACTGGGAATGGTATCAATCAGAATTCTTTTATTGTCTATAAGCTAAAATTATTTGTGTTTTCTTGTTTTGTTGCATGTATTCTCTCCCTGATTCTTCGCATCCCTTTTCTAAATATTCCCCTTTCCCCTTTCTGTGATATGAAACGCACTTTCCTTCATTTTGTTTCCTTTATCAGCATATATTCGATCCTTTCTCTGCACTGTGTGTGACTAATTAATTCCATACGAGACGTGAGGACTGAAGATATTATGCTATTTATCGCTTTTTTGTGCTAAAAATAGAATCTAATATTTTCGATCCTTTTTGTTTTCTCTCTTTGATTTTTTTATTCAGATCAGTGGCTTAGCTCAAAGATACCCTGGATTAATGTCTCTGAGAAGCGTAGATCTTTCACCGGCTAGTTGGTTGTCTGTTGCATGGTAACTCTCTAGCCTCCATTTCTTTTCATTGCCATTCACCTGATCCTGATTTACAATTGGAAAGTATTCAATAATGAAGAGTACCATTTTTTTCACACATTCCCGCTTGACATTTATGCCAGAAATATAATGTGGATTTGAAGACTGATTAGTTCCTATCTGTTTCAAAGTCATTCATATAATTTGATTTTAAGGCCTTTCTTTTTTTTGTCGAAATGGTTGGAACCTTTTGGGAAAATGGGGTGGCTAGAAGATGCATTCTCTAACTTTTCATACGATGTGGAATTTATGCAGGTATCCGATATATCATATTCCAATGGGTAGAACCATTAAGGACCTGTCCACATGCTTTCTATCATACCACACCCTTTCTTCTTCTTTTCAAGGTGCGTGCATTTATGGTCCAGTCCTCTTATTGTCTTCACTTTATTACTATTCGTTCTTTTTAAGCCTATCGGAAAGTTCATGAATAAGCAACATGTGCTCAAAATGGATGCATTCTACTTTTTTGACTTGCAGATACAGAGCTTGATGAGGAGGATGACATGATGAATGTTGTAAAGAAACGGAAGGAAGGGGAAGGCATCCCTCTTCCTCCATTTGGAATGTCCACTTACAAGATGCAGGGCACCGTGTGGGTCTCAGACAGGAGTGGGAGGGACCAAGGGAGGCTGGTTTCACTATTCAGCGTGGCGGATTCTTGGTTAAAGCAATTAGGTGTCCAACACCATGACTTCAACTACTTCACAGGGAGCCGCCGTGGCTGAAAACTCCTCCGCCATTGACTGAAGAGGTGGTAATTTTGAAGAGTGTTTAACTAAATGGATTTGACTGTAGTTTCCTCCGGCTCAGGGGATGGATGGATGATGATGCACCTTTAGTGTTGAGATTGCTTTTAACCCTTATGAAACTAATTTGCCTTTTGTTGTGAGGCAACTTGTATGAATTCTCTTACTTCCTTTCTTTTTTGGCTTTGACCTTTTAGCTTTAAGTGTTTTTGTAGAGGGAAACAAAAAGGAAAAACAACCAAAAAAAAAAAAAGTACAAAGAAATGTTTGTTCCTTTGTAGGAGAAAAAAGTCGGGGATCCTAACTGTGAACTGATGCTGCTTGTACCTTAGCAATGATGTATATGATACGATCAACAATTGCAAGCCTGCAGGGTTTTCCTGTTTGTAATTTGTATATATTTTTTACTGCTACAAAAACCTTTTCCCTTCTGTTAAATTTTTTCAAGTAAATGCGAGTTTCTGATGAATTATGAGGTGAAAATCACCGTTGTATTAGTAAAATACGATTTGATATGAGACGGAGAATTTAATGGTACTAATCACCTATAGATGACAAAAACAGGTGAAACGAGATGAATGTAATGTCGTTTTAGTCTCTACAAATTCCACTCGGAACACAATATTTTAAATGGCATTAAGTAAAAGGCTTAAAATGTTATTGGTTTTGGACGGGAAAAGAGAGTTTCAAAGTGCTTATTCTTCCAATAATGGCATTTGGAGTTAACCATTAATTTTGTCAGGCAATGTTCGAGACAGCGAATTCCTCTATGATCAAAATTACGAACAAAATTGTCAATCTGTATCATTTTGTGTTCAACAAAATTAAAAATATGGTTTCTTTTCTATTACTCATCTAGTTAATGGAATCCTCACGGTTCCAATTTCCAATCAGTCCAGTAATCGATTGCCAAATTTGTTTTCAGTTTGTGATTTAGGTACCTTTACATTTGGTCTGTTTCCCCAACTAAGCCATTGCATTGAGATCATTAACATTTCTTAATTATTATTATTATTTTTTTTTGCTTAAATTTGGTGTTGGTGAACCTACGAATGTGAAAGGATAGTGAAATTAAAACACACTTCTCCTGCACCACCAACAAAACACCACTACAAAACACAAACACAACAAAAAGTGGTAATGTCCAATCACTCCTGGCACTCTAGCAAGTATTTAGGCCATGTTTTTTTGCCTCGTCACAGCCACGTGGCAGCTTAGCTGCCTTTAAAGGATAGGATTATAAGACTTTATTATTTTATTTAATAATAACAGAGGTACACAGGCAAAACAAAAAGTGGATAAAAATATGACCATTAATGGTGAGATATAATTTATTTACTAATTGGAAGCTAGTGTAATGGTGTTGTTGTTGAACCAGTCAACTTTTATCCCCCAGAATGGGTTGATTAAAAAGAATCCGTGATGAATATATTATTGTCCCGACTTTTTTTTTCCCCACTTTTTAATTTTTATCCTTTTTTTTTCGGAAATTATTTTCTCTAGAATTATTATCACATCTTTTACTCTTGAATGTATAGTACATAAAGAATCGTATGTAGAAAAAATCAAACTTCACATAGTTTTTCAAATACTGTATCTTTTACGATATTTTTGTATTATTATGTAATGATTGCGATACCAATTGAATGGTTATAACATGTGTTGACTATTTGACAAAAATTATAAAGATTAATACTCTTTCTGGTCCTATTACAAAACATTTTGATTTGTTTTGACTTTCACCTATTTAGTTTTTTCAATTGAAAAAAAAATCTTAAAAATACATTTTAACATTTATTATGTTCTCCTAATTATTAAGAAATATTTTTTAGAATTTTTTTTTAATTTTAAAAATATACTAAGTGAAATTTATAATAAATCAAAACGTCTTAGATAAAAGATCGGAAGAGTACTGGCACAACATATGTTTGAGACTGGGAGTCTACTCGTGATGAATAGTATCTTCTCCACTCCAACATCTACATAATCAATAAAAAATTTTGCCGTGTGAGCGAAAAATGCAGTGTCGCAAGACTTTGGGCTGCAAAAGGTCCTTTCAAGAATCAAAATGGAGCTGAATTGATCTCATATCCTAGAGCGGTATGTGCAAGTTGCCAGAAAAGCTTGTGTATTTTTCACAAAACTACTAATAAACCCAAATTTGAGCGTCCTACTTTTGTCAATTTCAGTTTATAACTACACTACTACTACTACTACTATACTAATTTTGTAATAATTTTTTATGATCTCGGATTGGTTGAACATCATTCCATTGTTTCGGAACAAATGGTTGGCCTGGACCTGGACCTAGCACCCACTAGCTAGAACACAATCCAAATTTCACTTTCCAGTTAATTATTGAGTACCTAGTTTAAGCTAAGTTTATGGGGGTGTATAAGACTAGGATTGTAGGGCAACAAGATTTGTGTTGTGTTAGGCAATATTTGACACTTCTGGCTTTCGAAATTCCCCCATACTATTTGGTGAAATAGAAAGTTGAATTTGATTCCTTTGGGACAAGTCTATATAATGAGCACCAAATTACAAAAATGAAAACGAAAACATGGGACCAAATCGTTAGACAATTTGCCAAATGGTTTTGGTCTTCCTAATTTTCCTTTCTTTGAAGGTAAATAAATATCCTTTAACCCAAAAGAGTGGATGATTTTGCAGTGAGGCAAATTTAGTATACATTATTTTTTCTGCCATCTCATATCAATAGTTATACATTCTAGACAAATATATAATCAAACAAAACCTCAATAATGTAATAAAGTGATATCATCCTTACAAGGCCAAAAACATCATGGTCCTTGTGATTCATGCACTCCCACATTTCCTATCATAAAACCCTCTATTTTTTTAAATTATTATTAAGGGCTTAATTTATTTGTTCCGTCTCATTTTAATAGTTCACTTTATTTTGTTAAAATGAGACGGAAGAAATAGTTCCTATTTTATGTTGAAGGGAGAAAGAATGCTTTCAAGATTTGAAAAGCGTCTTCGTCTGGCCCTGAGACTGAGAGTTCAATTCAACTTGGTAATTAGTGGCCTAACTTTATACTTTATTTAGAATTTACGTTGGATTAAGGAAGTTGACAAAAAGTAATTAGGTATTAGCGCCATTCTTGTATTGACTAAGTATACCCTTTTTTTTTTTTTTTGATAGAATGACTAAGTATACCTGTGATTCCCTATTGAAGCAAAATGCATGCAACCCAAAAATTAATCTCTTCTGAAGTTATCATATATCTTCTGCATTGTTTCTTGCTCTTAATCTTTTTTGGATTAGTCGTGTGGATAAGTCAATTGTTGATGACATAGCTAATTATGTCAAATCTTGTGTCACGAAGGATATCTTTTGATCGTCTCCTCCAAAATAGTTATCATTCAGTGCTGGTTGATTCTAGCTCGTAATAGAAATTGATATGTTCTCAGAAAGAATTTCTCAAAAACAAATGCCCGTTGCATCACGTTTGGCCAATTCAATATGATCTCTTAATTTTATTTTTTTTTTAAAAGCTTATTTTAGCGCGTTATAAAATTTAAGAACAGTTGTACATTTTGGATTACCTGAATAGAGACTTTTGGGTTTTGGCGGTCAGATTTGGCATGAAGGCATGGGCTGCATTTGGCCTTAAACCGGGTCATTTTTATAGTCTAGGGAAAACCAGAAAAACGGGAAGAAAATAAATAAATCGGTCAAAGGAGATAAAAATAAAGGCAAACAGATATCTATAAAAAAAATAAACATAAAACCATGTTCAGATATTATAAAAAATATAAAAAGGAGGTGATATTTTAAAAAAACGACTTATAACATCAGAAAATTTTGGAAGAGGTTGTGCAATTGTACCACAATATATTTTTTAAAATTAAGAGTCATTAATATATTTCTTTAATTTGTAAACCGCAAGACAAATATTTGGAATAATCCAGTGGTTAACTCTTTTCTTATACTCCAATAATTTTCCACAGTTTTGTTTTTTTAAAAAAAAAAAATTAAAATTTTCAAGTCATTCATAATTTCAATCTGAAACCTGGAAAAACAAATTTGCATGTACTCGTATAACAGGAGTTAAAGTTTAAAGGATGAGTAACCTAAGACACAACAAAATCACTATCATTTGAGATGTTTGGTTGATTATTGCACCCCCAAAACTTGATGATAAACCAAATGAATCACATCAAATGGTCCACAATTAAAACCATCTCCCCAACTATTTTTTTTTTTTAAAAAAAGAAAAATTTACCCCCACAAAACCCCACAAAACGGACTAGTAATAATCTAAATATTTGACTTTTAATTATTTATCTATTTTTCCCTTTCAGTGGGACGAACACGTACAAAAATCCCACTTCTCCACATCCCATAATAAGACTTTTTGGTCCATACCATTATCCATGTGTAGCATAGACAGAAACATCACATTAATCACAAAAGTACAAACTACTAACTGAAACTGTTTACAATAACTTTTATTTTATTTTTTTTTTTAAGGAAAAAACCACTGCCATCATTATCATTTTTTAGTGCTGCATTTGCTTTTTTATATTTTTCTATCCCGAAAAAATAATCTAATTTACAAAATTAAAAATTTCATTAATAAGATAGTAAGTTAATTTTTTAAATTGAAGAATGAAAAAGAAAAATTAAGCATATTATTAATTTTAATTTCGAAATAAAATATTTTCTCAAGAACGGAAGTACAACCCCCAGCTGACAACCTCTTTTTTTAATTGCTCTTTGAAATCGTTCTCTCTACTCATAGTCAGACACTACTAGTATCAAACAATTCCACATGCATGATGGTTTTATAGAAATCCTTTTATTTTGTCAACTTGAAATTCATCAGGTTGGACTTAATTGGTTGTGATGCACTTATTATTGTTGTTATCTGTGGAAATTCTGAGGTGTATGTATTAATTACTTCATTGGACTTGGACCTCTTCCATTTTAGTAAATTAATTAACCATTTGCTACCAAACGAAAACAATGGATTGAATTAATCAGCGTCACATAAGCTTTTAATGCTAGTTAACTCATCTGATTCCAGTTGTTAGAATTTCATTTGATCCCATCCACTTCATAACCATTAAAAAAAATAAAATTTATTGTCTTAATTTATTACAAAGATCCGAATCTTAATGCCGATCCCATTTTTCAGTGCAGTACATGTCTTACTCCCTCAATTTTAAAATATAAGTCACTTTAAGATTTGCACGTAAACTAAAGAGACAATCATCCAACAATTAATTTATGTATAAAAATCTGTTTTATCCCTCATTAATTATATTAGAATTATAAACAAGACTAAATGAAAATATATCTGCTTCATTTATTGAAGGTAAAATAAAAAAAAAATAGTTATTAATTTGCCTAGAATTTATTGAAAAAAATTGATTTTTTTCCAACCTCATATATTTTGGAATGGAAGGAGTAGTACATTTTGCCTTATACACGGAACAAGAAATGATAATAAATAACGAAATCAAATAGTGCAAAAATCGAATAAGTAAAATAATCACTGTATTCTT